AGCCAGTAAACATCAACTCTTGATCCACCCTCCCCCCAGCCATCAATCACCTTTGTATTTTTTTTTCTATGAATCTAACTACTCAGGTATCTCATAAAAGTGAAGTCATGCAGTGTCTTTTTCTGACTGGCTTATTGCACTCAGTATAATGTCCTCAAGGACCATCCATGCTGTAGCATGTGTTGGGATTTCCTTCTTTTTTAAGGCCGAACAATATTCCATTTTACATAAAAAGCATACTTTGTTTATCCATTCTTCTGTTGATTGATAGTTGAGTTGCTTCCACCTTTTGGCTATTGTGAATAGTGCTGCTATGAACATGGGTATACAAATATCTGCTTGAGTTTCTGCTTTCAATTCTTTTGTGTATCTACCTAGGAGTGGAATTTCTGGATCTAATGGTAATTCTATGTTTAACTTTTTGAGGAACCAATATATTATTTTCTACAGCAGCTCCACCATTTTACATTCCCACCAGCAATATACAAGAATTCCAATTTCTCCACCTACTTGCCCACACTTGTTTTCTAGTTTTTTAATAGTAGCCATCCTAATGGCTATCAGGTGATACCGCTTTGTGGTTTTTATTTGTATTTCCATAATGACTAGTCATGTTTAACATCAGTCAAAAGGTTTACATCATAAGGTATCCACCTTCTGGGAGATCAGCACAATTGGCAGTGGAGATATAACAAGTGTGTGGGTCAAGTCAAATGTGGAGGTGTACTCATTGGATCACCTGGCCAGATGGAAGGCCCTTGGGAATACTCCTACACAGGTACACAACAGGCTACCAGTGCAAGGAAGGGCAGAGACAGGGACTCCACTTATGGCAACATTTGTTGTGAGTCTTTACTAGCAGGCCATTTACTTGATGCTTTACTTGGCTTGCTGACACTTTCAGTTTTGATCAGTAGGGAAGAATGAATTGGTGAAATTACAGGGATATTGAATAAGACCGCACAAGTAATCTAGTGTTTGTAGAAATGAAGAAAGAGCACATCAGCCTAAAATTTTCTAAATCCAGAGGAAAATATAGACTGACAGAGAAGACGCCAACAATGTCATCTGAGAGACATTATTGTGAGGAGGATGAGATGGCTTGAAAGAGAGCAAGGAGTGGTTACCTATGAGTGTTGGAAAGATGAAAATGAGAGATGGGAGTCAGGGCTGGGGCCCAGAAGGCAGACCAATGACATGGAAGGACCTGGGAAAATGGTGTTAGTGTGGCAGTACCCAGAATGATCTAGGGCTTGAAAACAAAAGACTGGAGCAGTAAAAAGACTTAAAAACTAAGCTGCATTTGGACAAACCATGAACATAGAAAGGTTGGCTCTACTTGGAGATGGTGGTGGGTGTAGCTCTTTAATCCCCTAATATCTACTTGTGTAGTCAGGGCATTGGCTTTATCATGTCAGAAAGGAGCCTTATTCTGCACAGTGTCCATCCTCCTCCCCAAGAGGAAGATCAGTCCATAGCCTTCTTAAGACTTGCTGAAAAGTCCTCAAGCCTGGCTGTGCTTTTGCTCATTTACAGCTTTCCACCTGAATAAGGTGGTTTTTCTACCTTCTCTCTGTCCACAGGCAACACATCCCTAGGTGTGTTCTTCCTCCACTGGGCAGAACTCTGGATGTGAGCAGTACCTGGCCATGTGTGTTGGGCCCATGTGCAGGCAGTCTGCTCTGGATGGTGTTTATGAATCCGGATGATCAAAGCCTCTGGGGAGCTTTTCTATCTCCAGTTGCTCTTTCCCCACATTTGGTAAGTCTAATGAGACAAAGTAGAAGTGGGGCCTGGATTACTTTGTTAACAAATTCCCAGTCATTTGTAAAGCCCAGGTAGGTTTGGGCATCCTGTCAGGAGACCTGAGGAAGAGAACCGCCACCAGAGTCAGTTCTCATCCTGGACCCACCCAGGGTCCCCATGAGAGAGAGAAATCTGCTCGGATGGCTCTGCTGGGGTGATACTGAAGACATAAGCAAGTGTTGATAGGCTCTAGTGACATGGTCTGCAGCTCTCCCTGTTCACTTTGGACTTTATATTTGAATGTCATGGAAGGTCCACACTAGGCAATTGTGTTTAATACCATGATGTAATCTGGGCCAAAATGCTTTTGACATGTATACTGTGCAGGTTTTCCCAGAGCTCCTCTTTTATAGGCAAATGTTTTACTCATTTGTTTCACCCACTGGTCTCCCCTGTTTAGAGTTTTGGATCCATGGCATTGTCATACAAGAGCCCCATAAGTAGACTAAGTTCTCAAAAAATGTAAGTAGGCCCCTTTGGCATCTTAGGGAAGGTTATTGTCTTCTATTGCACCTCCCCAGTGATGGGGAGTTTAGTTTTCCCAGGCCACTATCACAGTTATGGTCATTAGAAATGCCTTCCTTACAGTGAGTGTGAATTTGCCACTCAGATGTGTGTCTCTTTTCTTGCCCATGGCAATGCTGTAGACACATGAAGACATGAATACATCTCTCCTAAATCTTTTCCTTTCTAGGCCAAAGGCTACTAGCACTTCTCAAAGTTTAATGTGCAAATGAATTACTGGGCAATCTTGTGAGAATGCATATTGAGATTCTGGGTCTTTAACAAGCTCCTTGGTAATGTGAAGTCCACACTTACAGAAGCCTGGGCTGAGGGTTAAGAGTGTCCAGTATTGAGGGAGGCCTGAGTTCCTAGCTTGTCCCCTCTCTTAGTGACTGTGTGACCTTGGGATTATACGAGGCTGAAGAGAATACTTCCCATAGTGATGTTGTGAGGACAGAGGTCAGGCTCAAAGCTGCCCACTCAGGGGTAGGCTCTTGGTCATTTCCTGCTGAACAGACCCAGTACCTTTGATCATTCCCTGGAGGTACTCTATTTTATGTCTCCTCTCCAGGAGATATTTAGAGGGGTCATAATATAGTAAAGGGTGAGTATAATAAACAGAATATGCAAGCATGGCCTTGACCTACAATTTCCACAAACATTGTTTTCACAGTTCTCACCACTATCTTATTGAACACAGTGGTAGAAATGGTGATTTTTCTAGGCATTATTAATTCAGAAGCTAAAGGAAATATCAACAAATGTCTATCCTGGGAGGTTACACTGGCTCCATTTTTGTGCTGATTAGACACAAAGAGTTTGTGCTAAGGAATTTATCTGAACCAATACCCTTTGATATGGTAAGAAAATGTATTAGTATTTAATAAATGTTATCATTTTTTGATACATAGGTTAAAGCTGGGGAAATTCTGGTTTCTTCATAAGCTGATGTACTTCTTAGTGTTTCCTAACTCAGCTTTCATGCCATCTGCTTTACAAAGCCCCCCTTCCTTCCAGGCTGGGTTAGGTGCTTCTCAGACCAGCCTATTAATTGACTTACCACATGGGATTGTAATGGTCTTACTTCTCTGTTAGATTTTAATTCCCTGGGTGCAGAGACCAGGTGTTATTATCATGGTATATCTTCAGTGCCCAGTAAAGTGCTTTGGCACATTTCAGGGATTCTGAAAATGTTCGTAAGAGAAAGAGGAGAGGATTATTTGCAAATGAGTTGGTCTCTATTGACTTTTGTCCCCTGGAGGTAAAATTATCTGCTTCTTAGAAACATAGGGACATAACGCTTTGCTATATGTGAGAGACCTTCCTTCTAGCTGACTTGCTGGGGAGCTGGGTGTCCCTACTCCCTGATATGAATAGATGTATTCCTCCAGATGCCCTGCTCCTCTTTTGCACCCACAGGGGTGAAGAGAACTGGGAAGTTGATCTTGATTTCCAAATGTCTACTTTTATGTTTCCAGTTCCATCAATAGCTTTGCTCATATTCCTTTTAAGACAGAAGATAACTGCTTCCTCAAATATAAGTTTCCCTTATATAAAGTGTCTTTTTTCTTGTAGGGACATGGTTGTTTTTAACTGAGGGATATTTCTTTTTTTAGGCAATTTTATCCTTTGGTCTTGAGAATTTTAAATTGAGATACTACTTCTCCTACTTACATAAAATGAAAACAAGTGAAGACAACACTTGGTGACTTGGTGGCACAGCCGAGATCATAACTTTGTTCTCTTCATTTGCACCCTGATGTGTGTGTGACTTGTGGGAGCCAGGGTTCATGGGCAATGGTCTGTTTTCCTGCATTCCTGACTCATCATTTAGTAGACTCACTGGGACAGAGCTTATGGCATCAGGCTGAAGATCTGTGTAGTTTTTCCACAATGAAATTAAGGTGTGACCACATTTGTTGGGAAAAGAAACAGGTATAAAATCCTGAATCCAAATCACAAACTTGCAATACACTCAGGCCCTTGTGTTTGTGTGAGTTGGGGACTTGCTGAGCTGCGTGCCTCCCCATTTCCCCAGCCTGGAAACAGCATCTGTGCAAAATGGCCCCCCTCCAAAAACCAAACCGAAACAAAACAAAACTCAAAAACCCACCAAGGACAATGCATTTTGTGTGGTGCCCACCACAGCTGCCCTTTTAAACAAGGAGGGAGGCACTTTTGTCCCCATCTTTCCCACATCACAAGAATGAAGAGGCTTCAGTAGAAGCCCCCAGTGGCAGGCCACACGGACTGGCCCGGCTCTCCTCCCAGAATAGTTGCACACAGTGGGCCTCCCCTCTCACACCTGCACTGCTCTTGAAAGTGCAGAGGTGGTTATTGCACTCTGCTCTCTTGAGCTGATTCAGATACTTTTCTCCAAATCCCCAAACACAACCTCCTTTTGAGCACAGAACACAGTTATTGGTCACTAAATAGGGATAATCAGGGCCTGACTCAGGTAACAGTGGAGGTCCTGGACCCAAGAAGGCATGGACAGGGGTTGAAGGATCAAGGAGGGTCACTGGGGTTGTAGGGCATGCCAAAGCTGCCGATCTTTTCACATGTGATCCTGTGTGGCCTGCAGGCCAAGATGAAGCCCTGGAGGCCATGTGGCCCTTTACTCACCAGCTGAGACCCACCACTGTCCACAGAAGAGACAGGAGTCCAGTGACAGAACCACATCTATAAACTTGTTTCACTTTTTAAAAGGCAGCTTTTTCTTTATGAGGAAACAGCTTTCAGGGGAAAGTTTTCTCAGTAAAGAAAACTCTTTCTATTCAAATGAACATTTCTGCTATGCTGCCTTGTGTCAGTTCTCAGCCACTTCCACCTGAGCTGAGCTGGTAATGGCTGCTGTCTCAGAGTGATAGGGGAAAGTTACCGTCAGTGGCATGTCTGACCCCGAGGGGGTGTGCTGGGTGGCTTGCTTGACCTGCAGTGTTCCGTGCAGTGTTTCTGGGGGCCTCAGCCTGCCCTTGACAAGGAGTGGGTCCGTTGTTGGAACTGAATGGCCCTGAGAAGTCAGGGTGGATCCACCTTAGTGGTAGAGCCAGAGGAGAAGGACAGGGAGGAAGAAAGGAGAAGGGAAAAGGAGTGGAGCATATCTGGGGACTGGGAAGGGGCTCAGAAGGGCCATCATGCAAGCATTGCCCTTCCAGGGAGGGAAACTTGGGGGGTGCCTTGAGGTGGGGTGTTGTTAGAATCTTCACTTCCTTTGAGACTTTAAGTGTCTTAAATGACAAAGGGTGTGTGTGTGTGTGTGTGTGTGTGTGTGTGTGCCCACGCGCGCGTGCCTAAGCAATTGATTGTTCTGGGGGAGGGGGAGCTAAGCTCTTCTGGATTTGCTGTGGAGGTGTTAGTCTGCTGTAATTCTCAAGAAATTCCTTCTGTGGCAAAGTCCTCTAGATCATTGGTGGAGATGATGTCCAGGCTTGGAGCATCTACCTCCTCCTCCCCTGGAATCCAGGGAGGCTCACTGGCAGCCTGGCCTGTAGTGTGCTTGGTGGGGTTGTCATGAGACCCAGGGGTTGGCTGTGGGTCAGCTTTGTGGGTGTTCTGGGACCCAGGGGTTGGCTGTGGGTCAGCTTTGTGGGTGTTCTGGGACCCAGGGCAGGCTGCCTCAGTGGTACCGGGGCTCTGCTTGAGGAAGGTGGGGGCAGAGAGCTGAGAGGAGCAGCGCAGCGGCATCAAGGCAGTTGTGGGTAGGGGCCGGATGCCAGGGTACAACATATAGGGAGCAGCAAGCATGTCCGGCAAGGGTGGCTCGGGTGAACCCTCCTCAGAAGATGGGATGGGGACCTTGACATATTTGCCTGTCTCTGGGTCATAGAAGGTCTTGATTTTCACCTGAAGCGGCAGATCAAAGACAAAGTACTCTCCAGACTGGGGGTCTTGGAGGACCTTCTGGGTGGCAGGGTAAGGGATTAGGGGCATGAAGGACTGGGTCTCCCCAGTCTGCCTCCTGACTAGCTCTGAAAAGGTGGACACTGAGTGGCGGTGCAGAGGAGGGGGCAGGGCACGGATTGCGGGGAACCTGGGCAGCAGCCTTTCTCCAGGGGACCAGGGTCTGTGCTCTGAGTCTTCCAGGCAGGACTTTTCTTCCTGCGGTTTGCCATGCATTTCCTGTGCCTGGTCAGTCTTTCTCCTCTTGCTTGCCAGCTTCTTTGCCCGCCTCAGGGCCTTTTCTGTTTTGGGTGGGACTGCTGGTGGCTTGGCAGCCACTCTTTCTAGGTGAGCAGAAGGCTCTGCTTTTTCAGGGAAGGCTGCTGCACTGGTGGCCATATCCAGCAATGAACCTCTTGGAGAGAGTGTCCTGAGGTCTTCTGCTGATGGCTCAAGCTGGGGGTCGGAACTGGCTTCCCACGTGAAAGCATGCATCAGGTCCTCCCTGCGGGCAGCCCTGGCAGGGCTGCGGTTGGCCCAGGGGCTGGTACGGGAAGGCTCCCCTGGCATCAGGCCCAGTTCACTGGGGCCCTGAGAAGCATCATCCCAAACACTGCTGGTAGCAGGGGAGTATATGCTGCTCTCCTCAAGAGAGCTGGTGTTGGGGGAAGTTGCCATCTCACCAGTGGCCAGTTTTCTCCCTGGGGGCCCTGCTCTGGGTGTAGACAAAAAGTGACCTTTGAAGTCTTGTGTCTGCTCTTCCCCAGAGGTTCTGAGCTGTTGTGGGCGTGACTGGTCTTGTATGTCACTTTCCGGCAAAGCGATCATAGGGATACACCTTGGAGCCTCCAGCTTCTCCTGGTCTGTGGAATTGCTCTTGCCATCATTCACCACAACTTTCCATGTGGCATCTGGGGGTGACTTCAGTACTCCACCCTCTGCTGCTAGTGGAATAGATGAGACATTCCCCTTTGTCTCCACCTTCGCCACATTGGACTCCCAACCCTGTTCCTCTGTGCCCTTGTAGGCCACATTCTTTATGTGTGGGCCCTTCACACCAGTGGATGTCGGGGTGTTGGGCATTTCTTGGCTCTTGGGGGCACAAAGACTGGCATCATTGCCCAAGTCTGGCCTTGGCAATTCCTCCTCTTTGTGACCACTGCCCAGCGGGTCCTCTGAGGACAAGGCCCTCAGAAGGGGCAGCATGATGGGTTTTATCACAGGGGTGGTCCTGAGGGTGTTGTCTTTGATTGCAAACAATATGTGCTTGTTTGAAGTGGAAGATGGTGAGGGGGTAATGCCTTGGGCATGTGAAAAGACTGCATCTTTACTTCCCCCAATCCAAGTGCCTCTGAAACTAGCTTCTTCCCTCAATGGCTTCCTGGGTTTCCCTCCAGACACACTTTCCCCTTCTCCTTGCAATATTCCCCCCTTGCTCTGCTCCTCCATGCATGTGTGCCCATTACTGAGAGCACAGTACTGTAGCTCATCTTTGCCCAGCACTTTCTCCTTCTCATCCTTCTGACTGTCACCTGTACTCACATCATTCTTCCTGTCTTCCCACTGGCTCTCAGTGAACCATGTCTTTTGCTGATCCTCAAATGAGGCAAAGGACTGATCTGAAGAGCTGGTGCTGAATTTGGCCTTACTTTTGAGGCCTGGCATGAAATCAGACTGGCTGTCACTGTAAAACACATCTTCTTCCTCGGGAGAAAGGGGCCCTGGGGAGAATTTCTGGCTGAAATTTGGATTTTGAAGACCTGCTTCTCTCTCGGGTTCTGTCTCTTGAGAGACAGATCTTGAGAACCCACTCTCTAGGTTGGGGATCTTCAGTTGCTCCTCAGCTCTCCCTACCTCAGGCTCTCTGCTGCAAAGTTTCAGGGACAGGTGCTTCCTGGGGCAGTGTTCTCTGGAGTCTGGACACCAGCTGGACCGGGCAGCACCCAAATCTGAATCTTCTTTGGTGGCATCCTTCTCATAGCTGTCCTGGTTCGCAGCCTCCCCGCTGACACAGAAGGGGGCTTTGGCAATAGCTGGAGGTGAGGTAAGTGTTAGATAGTTTTCTGCAGAAGTTGCACCAGGATCAGCTTTAGGGTCCTTCTTGGTACTGATGTGTGACAAAGAAGGAAGGTCAGCTGGTCTCTCCTTAGAAAGTTCCTTTTGGGGGCTTTCCTCAAGCCCATTGGGAAGGATGCCATTGATCATAGGTTCTTGCTTGTCTCTGGTTTTCTCATCGAGGCCTTTTAAGAGAGGCGAGGGGCTGTATATGCTCTTAACACACTTCCGCACATCTTTGAGGTTGAACAGGAGACTAGGGGCTTTGGATTTGTAGCTATCCCGAGATGAACACTCACTGGACTCCTTCTCTTGGTATCCATTCAGCTGTCCTGGGGGTAATGGGGTTATCTCCACTGGTGGGCTGTTGGATGAATCTAGGACATGCTTGGTGGGTATGATGGGGGTCAGAAGCTCACTGATGTTAAAAGGAGGATTATAACAGTCATTGGGGTCCACAGCATTGTCAAGAGCATCATTTTCTGGAAATTGCCCCTGGAGATTGTGCTTTGAATACAAGGCTGAGCCTCTCCTGTTGCTCTGCTTCTCTTCTAAAGCATCTTGTGTACTTTCTTTCCCTCCTTTGCGAGTCTTTGGTTTTCTCCAAGGGGGCTGGGTTGACTTTACCTGAAGATCAGGTTTTGAGCTGGAAGCTTTTTCCTCCATAGGGAATACCTGAACTCCTGGGCCCCTAGCTCTCCAGGGTCCAGATGTGGAGAGAGCTGCTGCTGTCAGACTGTTCTCTTCTTGACCACAGCTGGCCTGGACTTGGCAGGGAGAGACTTTGTGTTCAGGGGCTTGTGGCTCTCTTAACAAGGGAGTGTCCTCATAATGTTTGGGTGATTTGTTTTCAGGGACAGCCTCAGCAGGGTCCTTTCTCTCCAGCAGCCTTGGTTGGTGAGTGCTCCATGACTCAAAAGCACTGTTTTCACTGTGAAGGAAGGTGCCTTTGCGAGCCCACTCTTTGCTTCTTCCAGGCTCTACCATGGCTGGTTTGTGGGATGGAGGTGGGAACTTGGACTCCAATGAGGTGGCTACGTTTTCGGGTGTTGGGAGGAAGCTACTAGAGCCCTGACAGGCCATTTCAGGGCTCTTGGAGGACTCCTGCTCTCCATGCTTTCTACTGGCCTGGTGGCTATTCTGATGGGTGCTGGAGACTTCTGCAGGTACCCTCCTGACAGTCAAAAAGGCAGAATCAAAGCAGAAGTTGACACCACTCTCTGGAAGAGGAGCAAATTGGGGGGGATTTTTGATAGCTGGAGGCTTATTGGTAGGAGGCCTGCTATCACATTGTTGGTTCTCTGTCCTGTCGAAAGATTTAATTAGTGAGGACACTTTGGAAATAGGCTTGTTGCTATTCCTCAGGCCAGAAACTGGCACCTCCAGTCTTCTCTGGGCTGGTGTCAGTGGGGGGCTGCTTTTGGGATACTTTTCCTCTCCTTGAACATATTTAGGTAGCTGCTGGAATGTGGCTGCCCAGCCAGCATGCTCTGTGCCTTGTGATGGTAACTGGCTCCAGATGCCACTTTTTCTATGGGTGTGGCTCACTGCGCCCTGGTGAAAATTCCCAAACACTTGGCGGCTGATATCTGGGGACAAGGCCAGGTCAGAGTCACTGAAAGACGTGTCTTCGGAGATGCACAAACTCCGAAATGCCCGGTCTGTGAGGCTGCTCACCTCCCTGTCTGCATCATCCAGCACACTGCCAATGCTCGAGGAGTCACTGAACCCATCCATGCACTTCTTGTTCCCTTGCATTATCCGCTGGCTAGGAAGCCTGTTTCTGCTCTGTCAGTGTGCACCTCCGGGTAATGATTCTGGAAAGGTTAAATGTAGCCTTCTTTTCACAAAATTAGAGCTTTCCGTTGATCCAATGCAATTACAGAGTGAGATTTTTTTCTCTGCGAAAGGAAGAAGAGCAGGATATGAACAAGATATCTAACTTAAAGGCTCTATATAAGAAATACACACTGGTCCAGATGGTAATGGCGCTTGTGATAGTTAACTTTATGTGCCAACTTGGCTGGACCCTGATGTCCCATTTTTGCTCAGATGCCAGACAGCTTAGATGTTTCTTTGAAGGTCTATTTTTTAGGTGTAATTCACATTTAAATCAATGGACTGTGTAAAGCAGATTACCTTCTTTATCTTCGTTAGTGGGTGGGTCATGTCCAAAAGACTGAGAACCTCTGAGAAAGAGAGAATTCTACCTTCAGTCTTGGGACTGGAGATACATTAGCTCCTTGGATGTCCACCCTACTGGCCTGCCCTGAAGATGTCAGGCTTGCCAGCCCCACAACTGGATGAGCCTGTTCCTTAAAATAAATCTCTCCAATGACATTTTGGCTAATGACTGACTTCATATATGATGGTGGTTCCACAAGATTATAATGGAGCTGAAAAATTCCTATCACTTAGTGATGTCATAGCCACCATAATCTTGTAGCACAATGCATTACTTCATGTTTGTGGTGATGTGGGTATCAACAAACCTGCTGCACTGCCAGTCATATGAAAATACAACACACATTATGTACAGTACATAATACTTGATAATAAATGGTTGTGTTACTGGTTTACATAGTTACTATACTTTTTATTGTAATTTTGAAATACTTTTTCTACACATAAAAAAGTTTGCTGTAAAACAGTATGTGATGTTACACTAGCAGCGACTTCATACATCCGTGTTTACCAAGGCTCTTGATTGCATTGTTTTCTTTTGTGCTTGATTTAATTTTGTGTTGTTTTGTATAGTAACATGTTGTATAGGCTTGTAGCCTAGGAATAATAGACTATATCACATAGTCTAGGTGTGTAGTAAGCTGTGCCATCTAGGTTTGAGTAAGTGCTCTTGATGTTTGCACAGTGACAAAATTGCCTAAGGATCCATTTCTCAGAACGTATCCCTATCGTTAAGCAGCGCATGAATGTGTATGTGCATATCCTATGGATTCTGTTCCTCTGGAGGACCCTGACTAATATAGTGCCTAAAATTCAGATGTGTCATTTACACAGAGAGAACTTCTCTGGCATTCTGTGGAAATATCTCCCCCCAATCTCTCTCAGAGTGGCTGGTTTATTTTCGTCGTTGTACTGAGCACAATCTAAAATTAAATTTACTTCTTCATTGCCTAGCCCATCATTAGACTGTAAGAACTAGGAGCTTAGGAGCCGTTAAGTTGTCCGTTTGCTGATTGCCCTTGTCCCACAGCCACAAAGGAGGGCACGTCCTCCAGAACCTACATTTTCTGGACTCCCTCACTCTCTGTCTTGCCCTTGGATGTGACCAATGGAAGGTGCCAGTAGGATCTTGGAGAGAGGGGGAGCTGCTTGCCCTTGCCCCTGGGGCTGCAGAAGGATGTCTTCACTCTTTTTGAGTGACTCCTCATCCCGCGGTCTCCCTAATTCTGCCTATGCCTCTGTCATAACCCCTTCACTACTCTTTTTTTTATTTTTAAAATCACAATGAAATGTACACTACATAAAACTTATCATCTTAACCATTTTAAGTGTACAGTTTAGTAGTGTTAAGTATAGTCATATTGTTGTACAAACATTACCAACATCCACTTCTTTTTTAGCTTGCAAAACTAAACTTTGTACCCATTAAACAATAACTTATTCTCTCTTTCCACCAGTCCCTGAAACCACCATTCTACTTTCTGTCTGCATGAATTTGACTATTCTAGGTACCTCATATGAGTGGAATCATACGATATTTGTTTCTTTGTGACTGTCTTATTTCACTTTCCATAATGTCCTCAAGGTTCATCCATGTTTTAGCATGTGTCAGCATTTCCTTCCTTTTTAAGGCTGAATAATACTTCATTGTATGTAAGCACCACATTTTGCTTACCCATCCATCTGTCAGTGGTCCCTTTGGTTGCTCCCACCTTTTGCCTATTGTGAATAGTGTTGCTATGAACATTAATGTCCAAATATCTGTTCCAGATCTTGTTTTTAATTCTTTTGAGCTCAAACCCAGAGGTGGAATTGATGGGCCATTATAGTAGTTCTACTTTTAATTTTTGAAGAAACCATCATACTGTTTTTCATAGCAGCTGTACTATTTTATATTCTCACCAGAGTGCACGAGGGTTCCAATTTCTCCAAATCCTTAGCAGCACTTACTATTTTCTGTTTTTTGATAGTAACCATCCTAATGGGTTTGAGGTTGTACATTAAATCCCTTTTGGATCCTGTCTGAGGATGTTGCTTTGTGCTGGGATCCTGACTGCGACGGCCTTCAAAGTCCAGAATAGGCCTGGCCTGGAGGAAGGGATAAATAAACGAGTACAAAAAAAGTAGACAAAATAGGAGGTTTAGGGCCTCGAATGGGCCTGCATGGTGGGCATCTGGGACAGCAGTCATGTGGCGGATGCTGTGTGTTCAGCTGACAGGTGGAGCTCTATCAGGCCGAGGCCCATTCATATTGGCAGCATGCAAGGCAATAACACGGTCAGGGCTTTAGGGGATGGCAGGCAGGGCCCACATGGCAGGAATCCCAATTCAGTCCTTGCTACACATGCAGGAATGAGCACCAGGCATCCTCACGGGCCCGGTGCTACTGTGCTAGTAGTGCTGTGTTTCAGTCCTGCAAGCCAACCTTCCTCAGGGTTTGTTGTTATTGTCTCTTGACCATAGCACTCTGGTGAGTTTCCATTTGGATTTGTTGGCAGACTGACTTGCTTTATGAGTGAAAGAAATGAGCAGAGGCTGCTGGATAAAGAAAGGGATCCTGAGTTCTGGCAAACAGAATGAGGTGAGAAGGAACCACTGACCTGCTCTGGGAGAGCTTCTATTACATGCACCTTGAAGGTCAGAGCTGCTTGCTCCCTAGAAGGCACAGTGTATGCCTTTTAGAAGGCTGTTTGAAAAGGGAGAGTGTCTGCCTCCCACCCTGCTGGCTAGCTGACTTTATTCCTTTCCCTACTTTCTTTCTTAACCACTCACATTCTTAGACTCCTGAGCAGCCATTGTGGCCAGGCCGTGGTGCAGCTCTGGTACAGGGATGGAAGTACAGGGGCATCTAGGGAAATCCATGCCTTCTGATCAAAGGAGTGATCTCTGCTGTCCCCCCTCTATTGGCACCTTTCCTCCTGCTTTGATGCAGACACCAAGACTGAGCTGAGTGAATTTTTGGCATGGGTTGCTATAAAAGAGTACCACACACTGGGTGGCTAAAACAACAGAAGTGTATTTTCTCATAGTTCTGAAGTCTGGATGTCCCAATTCGAGGTATCAGGAGGATGGGTTCCTTCTGAGGGCTGTGAGGGAAGGATCTACTCCAGGTGTCTCTCCTTGGCTTATAGATGTGTCATCTTCTCCCCGTGTCTTTTCACATGATCTTCCTCTGGGTTTACCGCATGTCCAAATTTCTCCTTTTAATGAGGATACAAGTCCTATTGAATTAAAGCCCACCCTAAAGACCTCATCTTAACTAATTACATTTGCACTGACCCTATTTCCAAAGAAGATTATATTCTGAGGTAGTGGGGATTAGGACTTTACCATATGAATTTTAGGGTATACAGTTCAACTCATGACACTGATATATTCACTATTCAACTTGAGAGATGAGCAATGACTGCTTAGGCCCATTGACTGAAGATGGAAATATAGACGGAAGAGTAGCCCTGGGTCTTCGATGGCACAGCTGAGCCATGTGCCCATGCTACAGCCACCTCCCTCTAGAATTTGTGTTATTGGAGTGGGGTGGAGCATCTTAGTGTCTTCAGCCACTGTAAGTTAAATTTTTGGTCCTACTGATGTAATCAGGTGTCTTCTGGTGTTCTGAATGCTGAGGTTTTGATCCTGGGAAATAGCTAAGTCAGTAATACTGGAGTTTCTACACTTTCACATTAAGGTGAAAATAAGATAGCTGAAGATCTAATTTAGAATCTTAGAGTTAAGTAAATACCTGCTTCCAATTAAATATTTATGTTAGAGGATATTCGTTATTTCTTTTGAACACTCAGCTTCTATCCCCTTTCTCTGAGTAAAAATATTCTATATACCTTTTGGAGAAATTCCTTTCTCGATGGGATTCAGTTTTGATGAGGCTTAAAGTCAAGTTGCCTGCAGAGACCACCCTGGGCCAAGTGCAGATGTGAGGCCCAGGTTAGGCCCATCTTTCATTTTTCCTGGAGAGACATAGGCTGGAAACATGTTCGGGCATCCTTTGCAGTGTCAGAGCTCCTTGTTTGCCCTTTCTCCACCTGGAATTTTCAACCTTCACCTTGAGTCTACAAGGGCGCCAATTTCATTTGAATAACTATCAATTTTTGCTTCATTTCTCCAGCATCTGTTTCTGTTTTGTGTGACCAAAGACCCTTAGTTGATCTTGGGTTTGAGTCACAATTCCAGACAGTAATGAAGGATGTTCATTGATATTTGGAGGCTTGGAGAATAACCACATTCATTCTGCCTTTGGAAAATGAGAGACCTCTCTATTGGTAGATTTACTGAAATAACTTCTTCAATTCTGATTTGATTTACCTGGGTTCAGTTGGGATACCTGTTAGATGGGCCATATTACCCCTCCCCCTTTGCCCAGTCCCCCATGAACAACTACATGTGTTTCCAAATGCTGGCTCTTGAGTTAGTGGTTCTATACCTGTTACAGCAGTGAGGGCTGCTGGTGCCTGCCTTGCTGGGTTTTAGGGTCTGTAGTTTTAAAACTCCTTTTCATGTTTATGTTTTCTGTCATTACTGCTCATCTAGAAAAAAAGAGGAAAAATAATTTCAGTGAAACCCAACTGACCAAAGAACCAAGAACATGTTCAGTGAAAAAGATATCTTTAAATATCAGTAATACGTCGGCCTTCATTTTTTTAAAATCCACACTTGAACTGAACAAAATTCCAATCATAGTCATTTTTGGTGAAAACTAATATGGGGCCAATTTTTATTCCTTCCAATATTTGTTAATTAGTCTATGGTCCAGGAAGTCTTCAGGAACCTGTTTTAAGCCCTTAAGGTTTCTAATGTGATTAGCCCAGTTGAGAAATGTTTTTGCTAGTCAGATCTGACCAAAGGTTTTTAACTTTCCGTGTGAATTAATAACTCTGGTTTTGCAATAAAGGGAATCAGAGCAGTTGAACTTAAATCCACATGTCTGACAGTAGCACAGTTTTCGATTTATTGTTGGCAGGAGACTTGACTATCTATTTTGACAGCTAAAATAACTGAAAAGCTGCCCAGGAGAATTTTAAGAGTTCTGAGAATAAAGTGTAGAGTAATTAAATCCACTACACACATTTTAAAGGCAGATCACAAGACCTCCCTCATCTCGCAGCTCCTGAATATTCATTTAGTCCACAGTAGTTCACTAATAATATTCATAATCATAATAACTCAAATTGGTTGAGTACATTTCATTTGAGACTCACAAAGTTGCTTTGTGTCACAACCATCCAATTGGCCCATCCCTGACTCCCAGGCTCTCCTTCATGTTCCCACAGCAGCTGGGTTTAATTTTTCTGTAGATTATATGTCATAATATATATCATATATTTAGAAATTGATGATTCGTTATTTCTCTCAAATAGAAAGTAAAGTCTTTAAATCCAGAAAGTGTCCCTTTTTTGCCTCTCTGTACCAAACACACCAACATAGAAGCCAAATAAATGCATGGTGATACTCTGAAGTGGCTATCTTTATCCTGAATTTCTCTAGAGGATGAAACAAGACATAGAAAAAAAGGAATAAGAAAGAAGGAAAAAAATTTACTGAGAAGGACCTCTGGCCTTGGGTCTTCAGGCCATCTGAAAAATTCAGAGTGACCAATTTGTGTCACTGAATAGTGAGCCTGCTCCATTGCCTGCAGCTCCATGGAGGTATAAATTAGGGATGAGAATGCCATCAATCCATTTCTAACATTATGAGGATGAGACAGGTGCAGAAGGATGTGGTGACTTTTATTTGTGAACATTTAGGGGACCTCTCTGTGCTTGGGTTCGTAGACTCACTGTCATTGCTGCTGACATGCATTTTTCAAAGGTGAGCATAGATCTGTCTTGCTCACTGCTTTGGGCCATTTGAAGGAAGCCAGATGAATTGGTGAACATTTTGGTTCATAGAGCTCTTCTCAGGTAAAAAGATGTGGTTACCCTCAAGAGATAGAAATGAAAAAAATTCCATATTGCTGAGCCATGTTACAAAAAAGTCTGGAATCTGTGCTAATGAATACATAGAAACAAAAATTAATATTTAACCATGGCATGTTAAGTTCTTATTTACATCTATGGCCTTCAAAATAGTTTGTTCTCTTAAATGCTTCCTATCTCTTCCTTACCTCCTATTATTTCCTTAACTCATTTTGCTCTGCCTTTAGTTACTGCTTCCCCACTGGATCTGCTACAGGTAATCTTTGTTCCTCATCTGACTTAACTTCTAAGCTGCAATCATGACTGTTGGCTACTGCCTTCTTGAGAAGCCCTCCTACCTTGACCTGTGGGATATACAGTCTCCTCCTTGCCCCACCTGAATGTTCACTCTCTTACCTTTCTCTCCTAGATGGTTGGATTTCCTCCACTCTCAGTCCCAGGACCTCTTCTCTTCCCCACCTATGGTCTCCATAGGGACAATTTCACCCACACCTGTGGTCACAGGGAGCAGTTACACTGATGGCATGTGCAGCCAGGCTGCTGGCTTGGGCTTAGGACTGATCTCCCACTGCCCACTGGAGAGCTCCACACCTTTGTCTCACAGCTCCACAAACTCACACATCTGAAACAGAAGCCATGACCTTCCCACAAGCCATTTCTCTTTTGGGATTCCAAGAATCTATGACTTCTCCTTCTCCTTCTTCTCTATGTCTCCCCACCATCTGATCCACCTCTGCCCTCCCCATTGCTAGGGTCATCTGCTTGAATCAAAATATCTCAAACAAACTAAATCTGAGTGAGCAGCCCCATAAATCAGCTTTTTCTCACAACAAACAATGAAATATTCTTTATGTAGTGACCACTAATTCTACATTCTACAATGTCTTCTCACATGATGCTTTTCTTCCATGTCATATTGCACGATGCTGTTGAACTGTAAATGGACTGGAATATACTGCATTTTGCAGGAAAAACTGCTTCCCCCCCGGCCCTTTAAAAATGTCTCTGTGTGATCCTCAACGTGATTTTGAGGGAGGTGAAGTTGGACATCTCCCCACTTTCCTCCTCCCTCTAGGCCTATGGTGCACTGGATGAGGTAGCTACAGGTACAGGTAGGTCCTGGCATGGTTTCTTGGAGTGGTAGTCTCTATGCCTGGAAGGTCTTTTTCTGTTCCCCAGTCACCAACAGCTGACTACTTCCTTTTTAATTCTATTCCTTATAGATTTTTTTAAAAAGTCACTTCTATTGCTTTACTGCACATTGTCTGCTATGCATCTATCTTTCCAAGAAGGCTTTGAGCTCCTGGGAGTGAGGTTCCAAGTTTTGCTTATCTTTGACTGACAGGATGCCTGGTACATGGTAGTGATTGTTCAATGTTTTCAGCTACCTTTGCTGAATATGCTTCTTGGACCCCCAAGGATGTGATGACAGAGGTTTGCTGCAAGTGTTCTGTGTGCAAATGGAGGGCTACAAGTTCTGCTTCCCCATGTTCTCTTTGTCTCCCATGAGGCTACTGGACAGTGGCTGGCCCAGGCCTAAGAGATCACACAGCCCCAGCTTTGCTCATCTGCCCCAGGGTGTGAGGAAAGGAAGTAGCAAGGAGAGAGGACTTGTCCATGTCACCCCCTAGGGACCCTGATCCAGACTGCCACATACAACCACTTATGTAAGGCCCATGACTGAGGAAGTGTGGCAGGCCCACAAAACCAGAGTCCTGATTGGTGACCCTGGGAGGTCCCAGCTTCAGCACAATAATCCTTCATGTGGATATGCACCAGCAGCTTAATTTCTGAGATGACAATGGAGCGTCAGAGAGGTGAAAAGAATGTTCCATGTCAGCAGACTGTTTTAGTATAAGATATCTGTCTGAAAAAAGTTCAGTCATTGTTAATATGTAACGAGAAAGGTGTGTGTGACATGGATGTAACCTGGCAGCCAAGGCAAGTAGACTGGAGAGCGTATGTATGAACAATGATGACTTTACTGTACTAGTCAGTGGGGGCAGTAGATGCCCTTGAGTGAGTGTGTGACCTGTGTGACCATTGCATTCAAAATGACTGAGTAAGTAGAGCAATGAATCTGCATCAAATTTTGTGTTAAGCTGGAATATTCGTCTGTGGAAACTATTTCGATGATTCAGAAGGCTGCAGCCCTGGGCAACTGGTGATTGACAGCTTCATCATGACAGCATGCCTACTCAGGCCATCATGTCTTACGCAGAGTTTTTTTGGTGAAACATCAAATCACCCAGGTAACTCAGCCCCTTTACAGCCCAGGTTTGGCACCCTGCAACTTCTGGCTTTTTCCAAAACTAAAATCATCTTAGAAAAAGAAGAGATTTCAGATCTTTGATGAGATTCAGGAAAATATGACAGGGCAGCTGATGGTGATTGGAAGAACTGTGTGAGGTCCCAAGGTGCTTCCTTTGAAGGGGACAGAGGCATCATGTCCTATGCACAATGTTTCTTGTATCTTGTACCTTCTTCCATAAATATCTCTATTTTTCATAGTGCGTGGCTGGATACTTTCTGGACAGACCTATGTCCCATACAATATTTGAATATACTTTGCATTAGTCAGAATTATCTTTAAAATTAATCATCACATACTTAAACTAAAAATAGAAATTCATTGTTTATCTGAAATTCAAATTTCACTGGATGTCCTATTTTTTATCTGGCAAACTGATGTTTTTATCAATTTTTAGGATCCAACGTGGAACACATTCAGAAGAGGCCTGTAATAGTGAGTATACACTGGGATGATTTATGTTTGCACATCACCCTGCAGCTCAAGATGCACTTTAGCATCTATTATCTTGTTTAATTCTCATGACCCTTATGAGGTGGGGTGACCGGGCTTTATTGTCACCATTTTTAGGTAGAGGCACAAAAGCACAGAGAGATACAGAATATTACTCAGTGTTATGTGGTATGCAAAGAAGAGAACTGGGACTGGAATTCACTTAACCACCCTGCTCGTTCTTCAGGGTAAAACTCTGACCTTTGGTCATAGGCTCAGGTATACAAGGGTGTGTCTTGGGCTCATGAACTGGAGTTGAAGAGAGAATTGAGGATAGGTGAGGATAGGTGAGGATAGGTGGAGAAAAGGAGGGCTTTCATTTCTATTCATGTCCCAACAATTTTCTCAGCTCAGATTTTCACAATAATCATAGGAGCTGATGATTAGGCTGGTAAGTAGAGGGTCACTCCTGCTCAGGTAAGTGGGTGTATAGGGGTCCAGATGACTGGTATAGAGCTGGAAGGTACTCTCTTACACTTGGAAGGAGGTGGTTCAGTTCTGCTCTTGGCCTGCCTGTCTGTGCAGGAAGCCATTGGGGTTTGCTTTGTTGCTTGGTTTGACCACTTGCCTGTAGTGTGGTTTCTGAGCCCAAGCTCTTTGGGTGAATTTAATTACCTTAATTGAATGATGTTTTCACTTCTCAGTAAAGGGAAAGCAGGAAGCCAGTCGAGATGACAGGGGTTGGCTTTATCACACCCAGAAGGCCCTAACAAATTGGAATTGATTTCTCTGACTCCTATTTCTGGGTGGTTTTTTGAGTCATTGACTCAGGCATGCCTTGAGGAGTGGTTCACTGCAGTGAACTGTGACAGATGGCCCGTTCCAGCTGGTGAATGTGCAGAGGTCCCACATGCAGCCTTTGCTATCCCACCCCACCCCACCCCACCTTGGGCCTCGCCCTGGACTTGTGTCCTGTTGGTCAGTCTTGGGCCAAGGTCTTGACCTCTCTGTGCAATTGCCAACAGCACTTCTGCTTGCTGTTTCAGAGGTAATGTCCTTGTCTATGTACTACATTTTATGAGGTGAACAATAAAATGGCAAATCAACTTCCTCAGTTGGTGTCTTTCAGGAGACAGAAGCAGACATGTATAGAGTGTCTATGGGGTGGCAGGCCTCAGGCTCACTGTTGCACATGCCTGTGCTTACTCTTTCCTCTCCCATCTTACAGCTGAGGAAACTGAGGCTACATGTGCAGCGGGCCTCCAAGCCCTGGTGCACATAGGAAGGTAGGACTTCCCAGGGAATATGGCTGAAGAAAACAGCTTGCCTGAGCTTATAGGGCTCATGGAGCTGGCTGTGAGTTGTTGCTAGAGCAGCTGTCGGTGTTCTGCTGCCCTGGGGAGAGAGCTCAGGAGCAGGGATGCTTTCTTCCTAGGGCTCAGCCCAGCCTCACCCCTAAGTCTTGCCTGGGTTGCGGTCTGGTCTGCTGTGTCAGGATGGGACGTTTCCTCAGGAGCCTTTGAGCATTGCCCAGACCTGGGGCTGCGCCTGCAGTTAGAAGCCAGGGAACCAGCACAAAAAAAGGCTTGGTCTGATCCAACTGAGTGCTCCCCAGGGCAGGACGATGCTGGCACCTGGCATCGTATACTTGGGGGGAACCCAATTGCAGGAGAAAAGGAGACAAGTAAGGCATGAAGACATGAGGGGTGGGGGGCTGAACAATGTTTACAACTTGCTCTCTGGGGCAAAAGCCCTGTTTTGTAGCACTGGTGGATTTCCTGCTACTGGCCTGGCATCTAGGTTGGACTGAGTTGGGATGAGGTTTGTAGACAGGGCCGCCATGAGGTATACTTATAGTTGTCCTGATAATGATATTTGGGCAGTGGTCTCACCAATTTCTGGTGGCCAGGCATTGCAGGTATCAGGTCTTGAAGCTCCTCATGGCCAGATGTATTGGAGTATCACTATCTCTGGATGCTCCCATCTACCAGAAGAAGCTCAGGCCTGGCACTGTCCAGCTTCTTGGCCCTGCTCTACCAGGAGCCTCAGTGGCCTCATGCCCCTTGGACAAGGGGCCTCAGTCCTTCTTGTGGGCTTAGAGGTACCTGATTTACCTTTATAAGAGCAACTACATTGGCATCTAAAGTAAAAATAGGGGCAGAAAAGAGCAGACCCTAAACAGCCCTGCCCTTGCCTCCCTCAGTCTCCCTAAAGCTGGATGAATTGAAGGGGAATTATCTCAGAAGGGAAAGCTGGGGAAGTGGAAGGGGACAGTTACCAAAAACGGTTTTGTTGCTCAGCCCTGTGACCCTTTGACTTTCTTGTTAGACCTAACCCAAAGTCCAGGAGCCATACCCAAAGTCCTCTGGGGTAAAATTACCCCTGGTTGAGAATTGTTATTAAACTAAGAAGAGAGCATTAGCCCAGGCTCTGGGATATCATTTGTTCATTCATTCACTTGTTTGTTCACTCATTTCTTTACTCCATCCACATTTCCCAGAACATCTTTACCTAGATTCTGAAAATGGTAAAACTGAAATGAGATAGGAATCACATAAGCCATTCTGGGTGGTATTTAAAGAGCTGGAGATCTGGGTGAAGTCTTGGTCCCAAGACAGTGTCATCTCAGGCAAGCCACTGAATATCTACCTACACCTATAAAATAGGGACAATAAATATAACTGCGGCTCTGCTCACATCCATTGGGTGGGCTGTTCCCTAGACTGAGGAGGGCTAAGGAAAGAAATTATCACACACATGTGGTCCCTGGGGAATGCATGCTTGAGAGTCTCTAGATGCTCAGAGACACTTGACTCACCTGGAGGGTCCTGGGGCCTCCTCCAGCCAGGGAACACCTGCACAAGAAGGAAGCCCAGTGAGCCCTGGCTGTGCAGCTTGACCCGCAGACTGCTGGGCAGTCAGGGGAATATGTGTATCCCTTTGTCTACATGTTTCCCCACAGCGGAGGTTTCACACTTATTTGGTTTTCCTTCAACACACACAATAAGAAATATATGTACATCACAGCAGAGTGTGTGTGTATGTGTGTGTGTGTGTGTGTGTGTGTGTGTGTGTGTGTATAACATGGAAAATTTATGGAAGAAAATTTACCCTGCTTGTATGTACCATCTGATATTTCCATTCTATTGTGTTCTATTCTATTGTTTCTTTAAAAAACATATTTTCACTTTAATAAGTGACCCAACCCCCAACACTAAGATATGATCCACAGGGATTTAAAAAACACTGTTCTAGATTAGTAATGTTAGGTATTCCTGATTAGGCTCAATTGCTGCTGCCCTGTTTGTAGTGAGGCTGGGTTTTCTATTGAGAAATGGAGATCTGAGGCCCGAACACAGTGACTGGCATAATCTAAGCAGATTCACATGAGAGAGGGGAGGAGACACCTGGGTGGTGGGTTCATGGACCAGACCTTGCCTTTCTGCTTTAATGCTATGTCCCCAGTTCCCATGCAATGTCTGAGCTTAACACAAGGCCATTCATTTGTTAAGCAATGAATAAGAGAAATCCCCATTTCCTGAGCATCTGGCATAAGATAGGCATTTAATATACTACAATGTTGTTGATTCATATTTATTATTAAGTAATTAATACTTGCAACACTCTGTGAGAAAAAGTTGCTCTTGTTATTTACACAGGAGGAACTTGGAGTCCAGAAAATTTTAATACCTAGTGGTGTGGGGCTTGAACCTTGTGCTGTTGGAGAGGGAGAGCATCCCTGCAACCTGTATTTACAGAGGCTCCTCCAGGAGCTTCTAAATGCCTGCTGCAGGTTGGGAACCTCTGCTCCACAACACCCCACCCCAGGCCACCCTTCAGTCCCCATATTCCTATTCTTACCCTCAGGTCTCCTTGGAGCTCATCTTAAGAACGATGGCCACAAAATGTCCTCAGGTTCCCCATGCCCCATTATACTTGGGAGCCCACAAACAAGGTGCAAAGGCCTTGTAAACATGCCCTACCCCTACTGAAGGGCACATGGCACTCCAGTTAAGAGGTGTGACATCTGACAGACTTTGGACGAGTCACTCAATTTGTCTGAGCCTTAATCCTGCTTTTGTAACCTGGGGCTGTTGGGAAGGTAAGCCCAGTAGCCTAGTACTCATGGCAGCCCCTGTAGCTTATAAAGTTGTGGTTGCAGGGATGACTAACCAATGGCTTTGACTCCACCTTGGAGAGCCTTGTCCATAGAGGAGCCCTTCAGAGGTTTCCAGAGAAAGAGGCACTTGGGTTTGTTGGGAGTGAGCTATCTCTCAGCCACCATCCTCTCCCTGGCCCTTGGGGAAGGGCACCTTTTAAAAGCAGCCTTGGGGTATCCCAGGCTTGGGAAGAGACAGGAGGTTTCAGGAGGGCTCCTAGGACCACAGGAGGGCAGGGGGTTACAGAGGTCTTCTCACTATCTGCAGACCCATTTCTCCATCTGTAAACTGGTGCCTAGGGCTGGGTGGCAAAGGGAGAGAAACAGAGCTGAAGAGTCATCACTGAGCATCACCACCCTTGATGCTTCCAGACACCCATCCTATTTATTCAGCTCCTACTACTAGACATGCACTTTATTTTTTTAAATCTTTAAAAATATTTTCAATTATAGCTGACATTCAGTATTATATCCACAATCTTGTTCAGTGGTTAGAACCCCTGGCAAGTTAGGTGGGGGTTATGTTAAAGAAATCTGAGGTGGAGAAATTGAAGATCACAGAGGTTGAGGAATTTGTTCAAGGTCACACATTGGAGTCAGGATTAGATCCAGGGCCCTGTGCTGCACACCTCTGCCCTCTTCATGCAGGCAAGGCAGAGAGGGGCATCAGGTGCACAGAAGGGCATCAGGTGAGGGGGCTCTTCCTCCACTGTAGTGCTCCTGCTGGGTGAGGGAGGGTGGCAGCCTTTCTCTTAGCACATTTCTTCATCTCCCATGGCCCACCTCTTCCCACCAGGAGCATTTGCTTTAGTAAAGCCAGAGAAGGTGTTCCTTAGACCTGGCTGTCTTGTGGGGAGTCTCCAGGATGGCACTCTTCCCCATCCCTGGGTGGCCAGGAAGGTAAGAGTATCTGGGATGGGGGAGAGCCACAACCTCCTTCACACACACACACACACACACACACACACACACACACACACACACACGTCTCTGGCCTTCTCTTTGGTTCCCTCTGGAGGCTGGAAAGTAGATAAGAAGATGGCTGGGTGGTCAAGGACTGCTGTCATTTCTCCAAGCAGTGTCACAGTGGTGAACCAAGCTCTGCCAGGGAAGGAAAAAGAGAGAACTTCCCAGACATGAGGGGCATGGTCACAGCACAGGGGAACACCCTTTCTTTTTCATGGAGTCTCTCATGGAATGCTTTACAAAGGCAAGAAAAAGAACTCAGACATGGGCACTCAAGTAATCCTTCTAAAAATTAAAACTGTTTCTCTTCCAACAGGCAAAGTTATTTAAAACAATAACTCAAGCTGATATGAAAGATCAGCTTCTTAGAGAGCTCCCAAAGAATAGTGAGGAATCCTTGTCCCCCTATCCTTCCTTGAGGCAGTGTCCTTGCTTTTCAGAAGGCCTTGGGGGCTTGTTAGACAGTGTGCAGGGCCCCACCCAAGAGACACTGCTCAGGAGGTTAAGGTGGTAGGGATGCTGGGGATGCTGTGTGGGGACCACGCTTGAAGCACCACTGCCTTGGGCCTTGAGCAATATGAGGCTGTACCCCTTTCTGGGTGGTTGTATCGATAGGTCACAGGCTCTTTGGGCCACTTGGGTCTCATGGTTGGCAACTACTGTGGTTTGCAATGTCTTTGCTTTGCTCTGGGCTCAGCTCTGGGCAGGCCATGCCTATGTGGGCCACAGAGATGATTCAGAAATTTGGGTCTCTCCAAGAGATGATTGCCTCTGAGGGAAGACCAGGCAGAGGTCAGTGCATGCTGCAGGGTCAGGGTATAGAAAGAGAGAGGTCTTACCAGGCAGGGTGTGCTTAAAGGCAGCTGTGAGAGAGCTTTGGCTGCTGGCCTGTGCACAGACAGTGAACTGGGTCCAGCCTGAGCACCAAGTGAGGGTGGTGGAAAGAGCAGGAGTTTAGAGTCAGACCAGCACTCCCATTTCCTAGCCCTGTGCCACCTCAACAAGTTACTTCACCTCTCTGAGCCTCTGCTCATTCATGTTCATCTGCAACAATACCTACTTCCCTGGGTGGTTGTGAAGGGCAGAGGTGAAGAATTGTTGGGAGCCCAGAAGAGACCTACACAGAGTAAGTACTCAATGAATGGATGCTTCCTCCACTACAGGCCTTGGGTTTTTGAAGCAGACAGTGCAGAGAAGGAATTTCCTATTTACCATGGCAGTACTAACATGCCAACAGGATTGTCGAGTGCTTTAAATGAGCTCATATATAAAAAGCATGCAGTGGTGCTCACTAAACGCTGGCATGCATCATTCTTAATTCCCAGATGGGGCAGTATAACATTGTGGGAAGGGCATGGACTAAAGCCAGATCCCTTGTGCATGGCTCCTGGCTGTACCAGCTGAGAGCGGCCCTTGGCACATTACAAAACCTCTTTGTGTTTTGGTTTCCTCACCTGTAAAATGGACCTACTAATAGTTCCTGCCTTGTGGGATCACAGTGAGGACCCAGTGATTCATGTCTGTGAAGTGGTAGGCCCTTAGTGACTATCCATAAATGTCACAGTTTTCCCCACCACACAACCTACTTAACCCAGGGCCAGGGTCCTGAGAGTCACTGGGATGAATTTGCCTTTCCTCAAAATAAGGGGGTAAAAAGCAAGGCAGTGACTGACTGGAGCATCCAAAGGGCTCTTCTGTCCTTGGAACCACCCCATGTTTGTGTTTGCCCTCTCTGCCGGTTTCCTGCCTTGGCAAACTACTCAGGTCTTGGTCTTAGAAAAGATCTCAGCTGCCCTGTGGTGACATCGGTGCTTATATGGCATCCCCTTGAACAGTGGGTCTGCACCTCTCTGGTAGTCATTCAAAGCAATTTGGAGATTTAAGTTAAGGTTTAACTTAACTTAAAGTTAAGATTTAAGATTAAGTTTAGGTAAATGTAAATTAGGTAAAATTAGGTACAGTTTTAGCAGCCTTTCTCTTCCTCAGGTGGGGCTAGGGGGCAGCGCATGGTGTTCTGGTTGATACGGGTAGTGTGCTGAGGTACCCAGTCACTGCCGCTTTGTCATGAAGTGGGAACATCACCTTCCCTCCACCCCAAGCACTGAAGGTGCCCAGATCCATCACCCTCTTTGGCACACGAGGACAGGCAGGTAATAATGATGTGTTAATGTCTAGTGCTCACTGTCAGGATGGGCTCAGTCCTCCATGTTGCTAGCTGTTCTCCCACTGAGCAATAAGCATGATCAGCTGAACCATAAAACACTGGTATTTATCTTCAGTGACCTCTGGAAGGAAAAGCCCCCAAGTTGGAATTTAAACAGAAGATGAAATAATGGACAAATAGGACAGTTGTGTTTCTATTACATATCTGGTGCTTTTTATATTTGTTCATTTAATGCACGAAGGACACTTTGTCCCCCTGATTAGCAACCAACACTGTTAGTATCCCCATTTTACAGAAGGGCAAGATAAAGCTCAGGGGCTTGCTGAGAAGGGAAATGCTGTCCTGTGAACCCAGATCTGCATAATCCTGAAGACCCTGCTGTGTGTCCCCAGGGGCAACTTCTGTGGACTCTCTGAAGCTCTGAAGGGTTGGGCCTATCTAAGCATGTATAGCTTTTCTAAGGAAGGTTTTCACTATTGCTGAGTGGACCAGCCTTCTTTGTAGAGATTTGTTTTGATGTTGATGTGAGCTATAGGTCTATTGGGCAGTTAGAAAAAGATGTGAGCTCTGATCTCAGGCCCCAAGTGTACATCTCAGCCCCTTAGTAGCTATACCTCCTGAGGCAACCTCTCTAAGCTGCAGTGCCTGCTCTGTGGAGGGAAACCTAAGACGTACCCTGCTGGGTAACCTTGAGAACAGAACCAAGTAATGTACTTAAGCACTTTGCATATGGGAATAACACAACCAGCAATTGCCCTAATGAAAATGTTGGACACACCGAAGGAAAATGGCTCTGAGTTCTGACCCCTCAAGCTCTGTGGCCTGTGGGCCTGACGTGCCTCGAAGAGGGTAAGACAGATCCAGGTGAAGGGATGAGCTGGTGGTGATGCATGTGGTGGGGTTGCCCCAGGACAGGGCAAGTTGAGACAGCTCCATAGTGGCCTGGCTGTTGCAGGTGAGGCTCAGCAGCACGAGGCCTGCAACCAGCCTCCTTACTCGGCAGAGTGTGGGCAACACACTGGTCACTCAAGCAAATCTTAGTTTCCTCTCCTCCTGGCCTTCCTTAAGCTTCAGGTGAAGGCTTTAAAATGGGAGATGGCTAAGATAAAATCCACCCTTAGCTCAGCTTTGCAGTCCCTCAGCAGCTCAGGCCCACTCTGGAAGGGGCCCTCAGAAGGCCCCCAATGAGACCAGGGAATAATGTGCAGGCTGCAGAGGTCCCTAGGAGGCCCTGGGCTCTCAATGACACTATGCACCAGCGTTTCCATAGGATCTGGAAGACCTTTGAGACCTGGTTGCCTGGTCTGAGCCTTGAGGGAGGACCATGCACAGACTGGAAGTCATTAAGAAGGCCTCTTCCCACTTCTACATGCTATGGTCCAGATGGGTCCCTTTCTCCTTTCTACTAGGAAAGGGGCATTTGTCTGTCAAGGGCTGGGGAGAAAGCTACTAAGCTACTAGTGCTGGTTGACTGGCTCTTTGGACCCTCTTGTTGTTTGATTCCCAAACACTTCAACTCTATTCTCAAACTCTGTGAGGTCAGTGACACAGGCTCCCAAGGGAATGCACTTTGCAGCAAGTGGCCTTCAGGTTTCCACCTGAGAACCGAGGTCAGCAGAGAAACTGCTCTGCCTCTACCTTGACACAGGGGGTCATGCATTACTCCCACATGCAGCCCATTCAGAGAATGTTCCAGAAGGATACCAATGTCTTTCGATGGGGATGACACATCTCAGCAGTGCTTTACATGCTCCATTTTTGAGTTTTGATCCATCTGCTTTGATCTTGCCCCTCCAATCCACCCTCGCCATCTTGAGTCATGCAACCAGTGGGAAACAAATAGAAACTAAGAGGTGTTTTGGGGTTTCCCAAGTAAGTAAATGAAATACAAGATTGAGTTGTAGGGCCATGCATTGGCTGAATTTGGTGAAATGTGGTTTAAACCCTCAAATGGAAGTAGAACCAATGCCCACTGCAGCCTGATGGGAAGTGCTGCACTGTGTGTCTCCACAAGGGCTGCCTTCTGTTAAAACCTTTTTCGTCTCTGCAGTAACCCTGGACAGATGGAGTGAAATCCCAAGAGACAACAAGGAAGACAGCCTGGCTCTGGCTCCATTGGCCAGCAGGTTTCAGTGCTGAGATTTCTGGCATAGTCTGGAGGAACAGGGCTATTTCCAGAAGTGGGGCTTTCCCTTTCTATAAGGGTCTCTAGGGCTTCCTTAGGGTCAGGAACAAAGAAGTGGAAAATAGCAAGACACATCTGAGGATCTGTGACCCTCTCTGACCTTCCCTATTTCCTCCACACACTGCTGTCCCCTTGTTTCCAGAGAATCTAAGCCCCTCTGTTACCAGCACCCAGCATTCCACCAGCACCTTTCCTCCCAGTGGACACAGCTGCTCTCATCCCAATGAGTTTGTGGTCACCAGAGAGCAGGCACAATGGTTATCCTCCCAAAGACTCAGGGGCAGGCGCACGCTGGACTCAGGTCACCTGGAGAAGTCTATTTATAAACCATCCTGATAAGCATAATCTGCCCTGCGTAACCCAGGCCACACTCCACAGCAAAGCTAATTCCCCCCTGGTGGCAAACTGAACATATCCTGTACCAGCCAGACTGGAAAAACTGGCCAGGGAGAGGTAGGGGGCTCCAGAGCCAGTCACTGCTCCTGAAGGGTCTAGCTTTTTAACTTCTAGAACTCTCATTGTGTGAGTGCGTGTGTGTGTGCATACTAAAGTGACATATCTCAGGGAGTGCTGCACAGCAGGATTAGCAAACATTTTCTGTGAAGGGCTGAATATTAAATATTTTTGTTTTTGCAAGCCGCATGGCCTGGGCCATTGTAGCCATAGACAATATGTAAATAAACAACTGTGGCTCTGTGCAAATAAAACTTTATTTACAAAATCAGGCACTCAACCCACAGCTGTGGTTCACCAACCACTGCTGTAAAGTAAACTCAAATGCTGGAAAGTTGGACCTCATTTAACACAAACATTTGTTTAATCTCCTCTTTAGGATTTCTGTACTTAAGTACTTTAAAAAATACTTCAAATAAAGTTTATTATAATTGGGTTAGATGTGTTGAAGAAAAGATCCATAATTTAGTTAAAAAAGATAGCTATTATTTTCCAGAGTAGTTTTAGGTTTACAGCAAAATTGAACTATTGGATGAAAAACACAAAAATTTCCCAGAGAGTCCCTGCCCCCATATGCATAGCTTCCTCTATTATCAACATCCATGAGTGTATTTTAAAGTCCTAAATAATAATTTTTAAAGGCTATCTAGCTTTCTACACATATTCAATATTGTTCTTATCAATGATCAATTCTCCACAAGAAAAAATAAAGATACGATTTTAGATTTGGCCAAACCCACTGTGTGGGAGCCTGCTTGGAGACCCCCTGGATATGGGAGAACCCGTAGTCTGGTGGGGCCCCTGTGATGAGGACACTTGTGCTTGCAGAGTCCACAGCCAGAATGTAAATGACCAAGTGTCCTTTGTTACAGCTGGTAGGATCCTACCTGGCCCAGTGCCGGAGGACACAACATAGTCTTCTGCCATAGAACTTGTGACCATGGGGTCGCCCTCAGTTGGCCTCACACTGACCTGGGCACATCCACAGGCATGTGCCCACTCATCCATGTGGGATCAGAGTGCCTTGACAGAGGCACATGAGGACAAAGTCACATCAGGCTAAAGCAGGTACTCTGTGCGGCGTACCCCTCATGGTTCACACAGCCGTCTCGCACCCACGGCGTAGCCAGCACACTGAGACATGCAGCCCCCAATATGCCCCTCACCACTCACACCACCCTGCACAGCACTCTGGCCCAGAACTTTGTCCCCAGTCCTGCTGGCCCAAAGCAAAAGCCCTGCTGCAGGAGCTTGTGCCTCCCTTCCCACACTGAAAAACTGGTGTTGGTGTCCTACCTTCCACTCCTCGCAAGTTCCGCTGCTTGCTCTTCAGCCCTTCCCAGCAACAGGAGAGAGCCCTGACTTTTCCAGCAACCCAGTTCTGCCCAGCAGCCAAAACTTTTTCCCTTGTCAGTTGGGCTGCCCGAAGATGAGATTCCAGATTCAAACCTCTTCTTTTCCCCAAACCTGCCCACCTGAGGAAAATCAGTGACCAGAAACTGGCCAGACACTGGAAGTTCGTGGAGTGTACCTAAATAGAGACCCAGCTGGGGAAACCAAATGGTGTTCTCGGTGGGGAAGAGGCAAACAGTGAGCACTGCAACACCCGCGTGGTGTCAAGTAACAGTCAGATTAAACAAACAGCCTCAGCAGCTATTTTTACATCCAGATCAGCCATGGGTAATAGATAACTTGGGGAGTGAGAAATTGCTTGCTGCTTAGCTGGACCCTAACCATGATTCCAACTTCAGTCCAGAATGATTTCTAAAGCTATTCTAGCATCTAGATTCAAATAAAAATATCCCCTGGTGCAAAGGAAAACATTTGTTTAGGGAAACAGTAAAAACATGATAGTATGCGCCTGGGAACCAGCACCCGGGGCCTGCTGATGTCCCAGCGCAGAAATAGCCCCTTTCATCATCGGCTCAGAGGGCTGCAGGCTGCATTCCTCGAGTAAGGAGCCGTACTCTGTTGTGCTTTTGGAGCAAAATAACATGCCCAGCTGTAGGCTGGGGGAAGGCCAGGCTGGGGTTTCAGGGTAAGAGTTGCAGAAGAATATGAAATAAAATCAGGACAAGGCAAGGTAAGCTCCAGTTTTGTGAGCCTGGCCAGGGCAGTCCCAGCTGTTTGTGAGGTCCAAGGGCCAGTGGGCAGGTCCTGCTGTACCGGGTGAGAGGTCCCCTCTCTGACTCTGGGAGGGGCTGGCCCAGGGGTCATTTTCTGTCTTGGCTAGGGTCATCTGCTCCCCAGGCTGCCTGCAGACCCCCTGACATCTTTCAACCTTCATGTCTTTGCTCCCGTGATGCCATTTCTTGAGTGTCCTTATCACCCTCCCCAAGTTGGCCCTGTTAAAATCTGCTTATTGCTAGGATTTAAAATGAGAAGTTTTTTTTTTTTTTCTTTCTTTCCAGGAGCCCTTTCTCACACTCTCTTGTCCCATAACCTGGGAAACCCAAGGTGCCCAGTCCCTGCTGTATACCCCACTCTGTGTGGTAGTCAAAGCCCTGGGAAGTCTGCATTGCACTGTCTCTCTGTGTCTATGTGCATGCTGTCCTTCTTGCCCGCATGGGCTCCTCATGGCCAGCAACCTCTACCCAAGTCCCAATTCAGTGCCAGGCACCACCTCTGGTTTTGAACCTGCTGGTGGCCAGGGTCACAGGGACCTGGGTTTATGCGTCTCAGTTAGAACAGAGTCAGAGAAGAGCTGCTTGTTCCCCACAGATGGAGGGATCAGACCCCAGCCACCAAAAGTTTCTAGCCCCTCTTCCTCCTGGGAGACTCATAACTTGCCTTTTGCCCTGAGAACTTAGGACCACATGCTCACTGATTAACACTCAGAATTAGTTTGAGGGAGGCCCAAAGTAAACCCCTTGATTTTACCCACTCCATCCACCTCCCTTGTTTGTCAAAACTAACACTAGTCAACCTGGCAGATGAAAAGAATCAACTTGAGATCTAAACCAGCATTAAGAAAAAACAGAACGTAGGATTTGAAGCCCTGGCCCCTTGCATTTTTTTTTAGCTATTTGACACCAGCCAAATCACTTAATATCTATATGCCTCATTTTACTCAACACTAAGATAGACAGATTGCCTATGCTCTATGGGGTTGAAGTTCAAATGAGTTCATGTATACTGATATGCTCATATATTACAAAGCTTCTCAAATGTCAGTCATCTGTTATTTTTTAATGATTTTTGCCACATCTTCAACAATTTGTACCATTGCCTGCTTACTATTTTTATGTAAAGAGAACTTTTATAAACAAAGTTTTATGGTGAACAATAATATCTGCTAAATCATGGATTTGATGTTCAAGTTAATTTTTTCCCCTATTACACATGGCAACAAATTTATAGCCTGTTCATATATTATGTGCATTCGACCAATCATTTTGTTCAGACTTTGGGAAATGCTGCATCACTAAATCTCGTTTTATGGAGGAGTTTGCTCTGTGGCTCATGCAGTAACATGAGCTAAACCTGTTCAGCAGGGCCCCTGGTTTTCTGACTTGCTTCCTCCCATTCCTCAGTACATTTCTTCCCCAGCTTACTTTTAATTTTTCACAGGTGGAGAACATGACCTCATGTCTGGATTAGGATCCTAGAAGTGGTGAGATTTACTATGCAGCCGGAGCTGATGGTGTTTGCTTGAAGTGGCTGATGAAGAAAAGAAAACCATGAGGATGACCTGAGGAAAATTCAGGAGACAGGGCAGTGACCAGTAGTCGTGTCAATGATGTCAGCAGGAAGGGTTAGGAGAGAACAATAAAACACAGTTGACCTGGCAAGAGTCTGTCATGGGAGCAGGAGTTCTCAGAGTGTGGCTTGGGGCGCCATCCCTCTAGCCTGACCACAGCTGACTGCAGCCAAATCTGGTATCTCACCAGTGTGCCTCCACCTGCCCTGTGCCATGGAACCCACGTGTGGTTGGGTCATGGTGGAAGCACTGGTGCCGACCACCCCAGCAGGAAGCAGAGCCCTAGAACTCAGCCACAGCTCCAGACCGGGAGCTCAGGGTCTGCATCAGCCCAAGCTGGCATCTTCCCAGGGGACGGGTCCAGGCAAAGTGATCACTCTCTTCCAGTCCAGGAGCTGTGAGCTGCGTGGAAAGAATGTGAATGAAGACACAATTCTAAATGTAGAATCACAGAGGCTATGTGAGCCGACTCTCTAGTCATCCAGAAAAACATTGTACATTCTGCAAGAGCATAAATAAAGCTGTCCTCAGGTGGCGTGCTACGTCTTCCCATCCTTGCAGTGACTTCATTGGCTCTAACTTCCAGCAGAATTTCTGGAATGTTGTGGGAGCTGCCCATCTTCCTTACCGTGTGGATGAAAGTGGCCTGATTCTTGACTGGATGTTCGTGATGTTTGCTAACTTAATTTTGCAGCAAATTTACTCTTCTGTGTTTGTATTAGTTACAAATGTTCAAAAGCTGGTAATAAGAACAATGCAGAATGGGTCCTTCAGGCCAATTTCTGGATCTGAGTGTTTGAAGTTTACATCCCTGCAAATATCATTAGATACGTTACCTGATTCTTCCACTTTGTGACATGGTTCTCTGGACTGCTTGTTAGGAGGCCTCAGGAGACTTCTTCACTAATGCTCAACCTTCTTTAGAAGTCTTTTCCATAAACTTCTTCAAGAGGTTGGTGCATTTCCTGAGCTTAATAATAATAATAATATTATTATTATTATTCAATTATAACAATAATAATGTGAGCTAACACATCTAAAACCTTTTGTCTGCACCATGCACCGTCCTGAGCTTTTATGTAAATTAACCCTCACACTGTACACTCTTTATCTTGGGCCTGGCACCATTTAGTTCTAGCCTCACAAATACTACCTGTTAGGGAGCTAGGAAAAGATGAGATAAGGGAACCAATATTGCCTGAGTACCTGTTTTGTGCTGGGCACTATCTGTGTTTTTTTTCACCAAATCCTCACAATGCCCTTGTGTGATGGCTGCTTATGCCCCATCTTTATAGAAGAGGAAACTAAGGCTTGCAGAGGTCCTGGATGTCACAGAGCTAACGGGGGCATTGAGGATTTAGGCCAGGGTTTGTCTACCTCCCTATCTGGCCTATAGTCTCTGTTGCAACCCGCCCCCCCGCCCCCCGCAGCTAACCACTCTCCTAGTCCAAGTCCAGGGAACCTGGCCTCCTTTTCACCCACCTGTTCTCTTTGCTTCTCTCTGGCGAGACACAAGAGTCAGGCCAGGGCACCTCCTTAGCTACTGATTTGTTATGGGAACCGAGGGGATTCTGTACCTCAGTGTTGGAACTTGTCCTTAGGGCTGGTAGCAGGATGGGGCATCACTGCAGGAAGGTACTTCTGAAGCTCAAGCCCCACCGGGCCATTCACCTGCTGAGCAACTGGACTTGTCCTTCTCACAGATTTACTTACTAGGAAGTCTGGATTGGCCCCTTTTATTGCATGAAAATGTGGGTCCAGTGCCCAGCTCAGAGGGTCTGGGTTTATGGGGGAGGGTGGATCCCTGCTTGCGGCTCTTGCTAGAAAACAGCCCACTGGCCTAGGTCAATGTGGCTGGGTAAGCTGGGCCATCTTTGCCCTCCCACTGTTGCTACAGATTATTTACTGGGAGCTGCTCAAAATTGGCTTCCTCTTCAAGTTGATTCAATGAACATTTGCTGAACCCTCACTGTATCTCAGGCTCCTCCTGTTATCCTTACTACATCTTGGAGGTAGATTTACAGGTAAGGTAACTGAGGCATGAATTAAATAAATAACCTAAGGCCAAGGTGCTAGGAGAAAATAAGGTTGGGGTTTGAATTTTTAGGGACACTGGCACTCAACCCCGGCAGGAGATTTGCTTCCATCCTACCTGCTCTCTCTGAGGTCTTGCCTTCCAGAAGCTCTTGTATATGGGTCATGGACACCAGATAGACCTAACTGTCTATTTCTACTTCTTATCTGTGTGATGCTGGATAGAGCCACACAGAACTTTACAAGGCACAGCCAGGGCTCTGTGTAGCTGAGAGGATAAAAGTGCAGATTTGGGCCTCAGAGATGTAAGGTTTGCATTCCCAGACCTACCACATACTGGCTGTATGGGCTTCAGTGTATGACTTGAGTTTTCCAAACTTTATTTTGGTACTCTCTTCAAATGACTGTTGTAAATGTTAAATGAGATGATGTAAATAGCACTAAAAGCTCCACATAGATAGGTACAATAAGCCAATGAAGATATTTTGTTATAACTTTGATTGCCTTGGTCATATCAGCATTGGGGAGCAGGGCAACAACAGGTCTATAGTGACAGAAAAACCTGGGAGTTTTGGGTGAGGAGGTAGTGAGCAGAGGACCAAGGAGCTGGTCCCCCTCATGGTGGAATACATGCAGCTGCTGAAAGGGACGAGGGGCATTTCTCTATACTTGCAGGGAGTTGTCTGTGCATTTATATGTATTTGATTGTATTAAAGAAAGAATAGAAGAATAAATTAAAAAAACAGAAACAGTTACCTATGGGAATAGGTTAAGAGCTTGACTTCTCTGAGTCTACTTGATCTGATAGATTTGATGAGGAGCCATGTAAGCACCTTGCAGAATTATAAAACTAAAATAAATAAA